ATGTACTTTGGTAGGCTGAGAGATATTAAGTAAAATAGAGGTCATATGGGGAGGGAGAAGGGAGGCTGCTTGAAGTAAAGGAAGTAGAGCAGGGCGAACAGAAAAGAGACAGCTAGACATCTGCCTAAAAATACAATGCAAATTAGGCAAAGCAGGCTATCAGGGCAGGGAAATTTAGGAAATGTCTGTACTTTTCGGTCAGATAGAGGTGATTGAGTGACCCTACAATAAGTATGTTTTCCCTCCCTCAGCATTAGGCTTAAAGATCCAGCAAGGTTTACCACTCCTTCCTGGGCCAGGCCTTTAGTATCTTCAGCCTGGACTGGTGCAGTAGTCCTCAACTGCTCTCCCCAACTCTATAGGGGACGTCATTCTCAGTATACAGCTGAATCTGTCTCTGTTTTTCAGCAGTTACCAAGCCCCTACAGCAGTTGTTCTCAAAATTGATTCCAGTAGCATCAGTATCACTTGAGAAGTAGCTAGAAATGCAAATTCTTGCCTTCTTCACCCAGACAGACTGAAACAGACAGACTCTGGGAGTATAGCCCTGCAGTCTGTGTTTTAAAAGTCCTGTGTTTTAAAAAGGTGATTCTGATGCAGCTCATTTTGGAGAACTTGTGCCTAGAGAATAACATTCAAACTGCTGCCGGGGCAACCTGCTAGGTGTTCTCTATCTCCCCTCTGCTGGTCTCCTAGCACTGCCCAAGGCCCACATATCCTGTCACCATCAAGCTTCTCAAAGTTCTCCAAAGATGAACTCTTTGGGGCATGTTATCATCTGTGTGTGTGTGTGTGTGTGTGTGTGTATTTTTTTTTCCCCCTGCAAGCTCCCCAGTTAATTCATACTCTGATTTCAAAATGAATATGTCTTAGGTGTTTTCTCATCTGTATTCACACAACTCTCACACATCTAAGAGAGCTTTTTCACATTTATTATGGTTTACTTAGAGTTCCTTTTTGACCGTGTGTGTGCAGAGTGTGATGTCATATTCTAGTCTTCTGTTTGATCTGAAAGTCCAGCACAGAGCCTGGAAATATTGGAAGAGTTAGTAAATATTTAGTAGGTATCTGGTAAGGTGACTGACTGGCTGACCAACTGACTAAATCTCCAACTTGGGAAGAAAAATAAAAAGAGCCTTTAAATAAGCAGAAAACATTTGGCTGCCATGACATTTATTTTTCTGTCAGCATACTTTTATAGTATAGTATTTCCACAACCCCTGCTAGTTGTATCAGTTACCTGCCAAGTAAAAAAAGGTGAGAAGTAGAAATACTATTTTACTTTGTGGACTTATTATAATAATCTGTAGGTAATTTGATATCTTTATTATAACATTTTAAGTTACTTCCCACAGCTTTATTTTAGATTTCACCAGATTTTGTTTAATGCAAGGTGTAGGCAGTTTTTTAATGATTAGTTATTATTTGTGTTGGTTTTTTAAAAAGTCACCATATTTAAAACTCATCATAGTTCACAAAACAAAGAGAAGAGAAGTCAAATCATCCAGCCATACTTATCTTGGTAATTGTTTTGGCTCTCTTGTGAGAATTTTAAGTATCTTTTTCCTGACATTCAAGACAATTCTTTAAAGATTTCCCCAGTTATCTGATTCAAAGCACCAGCCCCCAACAAATCAACAAACAAGTTAACTCTTTTCTTTCCATTTCCTAATGCAAAGGTATCAAAATATTCAGCGAACCATTGCAGCAGAGAGGCCTGAAGAAGATTCTGGTAGCCAAAGTTGTGAGCAAGCCCCAGCAGGAGGCACCGGAGGAGGCGGTGGGAGTGACTCAGAGGCTGAATCTTCTCAGTCAAGCTTAGGTATGTAAGGAGATCCTGTTACTGTGTGACAAGGTGTATTGAGTCCCTCTCCTTACCTTGTGGCATTGTGCTATGCCCTAGGGGAAAGAGAGCAATGGAATGGGTGGAGGTCAGGGCAGAGGATAAAAAGACAAGGTACCAATAAGGTAAAACAGACAGAAGTTTCCCACTAGAAACTAAAGAAGTGGATTCGCATAAAGAGAACACCGGCACCATGGCTTGGGGGTCTGAAGACAGAAAAGCAGATGATTTCCAGGGACTCAGGGCTGAGTTTTCTACAGTACTTGTGCATCAAGGCAATTTTTTCAGTAGCTTAATTATTTCTAGTTAAGTAAATTTATTTGTGGTTATCCTAAGGATTTTCCACTTATAAATAAAACATGCAATAAAAAATTCAGTTTACTTCAAAAGAGCCACATAACAACACTACAAATAAGAATACTTACTTGTTTGTTTTTGGGATAAAATACAATTCTCCCTGAGGGAGTACTTGTGAGTAAAGAGATTTTTCCCTTGGGCTTATGGTTATGCACATGATATGAGAGCCTTTCTACCAAATACTATAGGTATCTGGTTGTCATTTCTTCCAAACTGTCTGAGTGAACTCAGATGAGAATATTCAAAAGGCATAAGAGACTGGCTTTCACTTTTTATACCTGTAATGACATAAAATGATCACAGTGACATCCTAATAATCTACTTTTTTAAATTGAGTTAAGCGATGGTAAATTTATTTGCAAAAAGAAAGCTCAGAAAATAGTCTGAGTAAGCAAGTTTGTGTTTCCAGTCTTGCCAGGTCTCAGCTCTCTATGGTAATGCAGAATAGTGGACAATTTTATACATTCTTTTAAATGTATGTACACAGTTCCACCAACAATTTTAATTGCCTCTATTTTATTTTATCAGATATGCTAACTAAATTGACTAATTTAGGCTTTTCTATCATTAATTTCTTTGACCTTCTGAGAGCAATGTGGTAAAGTGGTTGAGTAATTAAAGACATGAGAAACGAAGGAGCAGAAAATATATTTATGAATTTAGTATTAGATCCGCTGGCATTTGCTGTATAACAAACTCCCAAAGCTTAGTAGCTTAAACTCACATCCATGCGTTTATCCCACAGTCCTGCAGGTGGGCAATTTGAGCAGAGCTAAGCTGGGTGATTCCTCAGGACACCTCAGGGCTCATCCATGCATCCTTGGTCAGCTGTCAGATCGGCCATGGTCTGTTTGCCCTGAGAGGGCCTCAACTAGGGTAGCTTGTTTCTCTTCCCGTGGCTACTCATCTTGTACTCATGGTGATGGTAGAGTTCTGAATGAAGATGGGGACATACAGGCTTCTTGAAACCCTGGCTTCAAATCTCTGCCAAATTCTGTGGTTAAAACCAGATACATGGCCAGCTCAATTCAACAAGGGGAGACGCATGCAGATGGATGTGGATGCAGGGAGGGGAAGAATTGTGGCCTTTCCTGCAAACAACCTACCGCAGCTTCGATTAGAAATTTATAAAGAAAGAAAAAAGTAATTGATATAAAAGAGAAAAGGTATTCAAGGACTTGAGGCTAACTGAAGTTATACAGGAAACTCCTAGGACATAATGGTTCTTAACTGACATACACAAAGTGATATGACTCCTAGTCAGATCTCTGTAACATCTGGTTGTTTCTCTGTAATACCTGGTCATATCACCAACTCCTGGTCAGATTACTATTAAAAACAATAGCTGACTCCAACTGTATAAGTGAAGGCTTGCGTGCTGCTGGTGTACAGAGAAATACTGTGTTTGAAATGACTTTTCTCCAATGCACTTTGTTGCTTTGCTTCACTTTTTCCAGATCTGAGGAGAGAAGGGTCACTTTCTCCAGTAAATTCACAAAAAATCACCTTGTTGCTGCAGTCCCCAGCAGTCAAGTTCATCACCAATCCGGAATTCTTCACTGTGCTGCATACCAATTATGTGAGTGATCCAAAATGGCAAAGTGAACATGGCTTGGCTTCAGCAAAGACAACTTTGCAAAGTCACTTGATACATTAAAGTGTGTAGCATTTTAACCCAGGCAAGGAAAAAAAAAAAAAGCTCAGTCCGCTCTTTTTACCCTGTGTAATAATCCCAAAAAGGAGGAGAGCTGGATTTAGAAATGCTGTTGCTTCTTCAGGTTTTTCGTTAGACTCAAGTGTGTTAATGGCAGTGAAAGTTCTTTGCAAAAAAATATTAGTTTTATTATTGTTAAAATTTTTAAAGGAACAAGATTATGAAGTTGACAGATTCCCTTTAGCCTGAATCATTTTATAAAATCACTTTTGTTAATGAAATTTTAAAATAGATTTATTCTAGATGAATAACTAGGTTAATTTTTAATATAATTAGTCATTTTAAATATCACACTTAAGTTAAATTTGATGCGATTGTTTACATATGTAGTTTTTTTTTTTCAATTTGTGTGTATTTTCAAGAAAGCAATGACACGACATCACTATTTTCATTAATTCTTTTATTCAATAACATTTTCTGTAGTTCAGGCACGGATTTAGGTGCTAAAGTCACAAAGACAGATTAGGCTGATACCTAAATAGCAGGAGCTCTGTTTTGCAAAGCAACAGACATGTAAAAAGACCTGTCTAATGTGTCCAGACAGGACCTGACCTCAGTGAGGAATGAAATGCTCTGCAAACACAGGAGATGGAACATCGGGAAACATTCTTGAGGAGGCAACTGCTGAATTGAGTCTTGAAGGTTGAAAGTGTCCAGGGAAGAAGTTGCAGGCAGAAGGAGAAGGGGCCAAGGGTTGGTCCAGTGTGGCTAGAATGTGGTGACAAGCAAAGGTGGTAAGAAGGGCTAGAGAATAAGTAGGGGAATGCCTGGTAAGACATAAATAAGAACCTGGATCTACTTCAATAGGCAACAGGAACCAACAGCAGTCTTAAACATTGGCATTAAATGATCAAGGTGTTTGATGAAGTATTTTCTCTGGTGGAAGTGTGGGAGAAACTGAGGAGCTAAGACTAGAGGCTGATTCAGCTGCTCAAGTGAGAGATGATCAAGGCCTGCCCTAAGTAAGGGGCTGGTTGTATAGAAAGGAATGATTCAGTTCAGGAGCTATTTCTGCATAGAATCAATAACAGTGCTTGGGACCACTGAGATTTAAGGGAAATGGGAGATGAGGACTCAAGAAAGTCTGAATTCTTTTTGCTTTGGTCACCTGTTAGGTAGTGACTCCATTAGGCAGATGTAGTAGTTTGATGAGGTGACAAAGGTTGTTGCAGGGGTAAAAGGAGATCAGTTTTTAGTAGGTTACATCTGCGAGGCCTCTGAGATATAGAGTGGTTAGACCCAGAGCAGCTGCCCAGTGGTGCAGGGGTGAGTAACAAAGAGACAACGATGCCAGAAATTGATGCCCTCAGCACTGGGCACTAGGGGGCACTAAGCTGAGAGGAGCCACTGTACCAGCCTGCTCTGGCTACAAGCAGTCTTTCATATCATCACACACACACACACACACACACACACACACACACACACACCATCCCCATGTGCCATGAATTGTCATTTGCACAATTAGAAACTACTGGAACTTTTAAAATTTCTTTCTTATTCCCTAACCCCTTCACACACATTTATACAGAGGATTCAAAGGAGTGACAGACCTCTGAAGTCCTGCCTTAAATCCCAGGAAGCCTAAATTAAGAATTCCTGAGGTAGACAGATAAGAAGAAAAAGGCAGACCTGTGTAGTCAAAGAAGGATCCGTGAAAGAGAGACAGGAATGATGCTCAGAGAGATAGAGAGAGTCTTAAGAGAGGCAATCTGCTAAGAGAGAGGGAGGAGGGAAGATAAAGGAAGAACAAAGGAGTAGAGATTTTGAGATGCACGAGGAGGTCAACTGTGTCCAAGGCTGTGAAGCAGCAGGTAGAGTTAGGATCTCAAACAGGTTTAAGGGTACTCATTTAATTTTTGAGCAAAATCTCTTCTCTGAGGCTATGCCCTTGAGGCTTACAATAAATGGCTGTGCAGCAATCACATTATATCACATTTAGGTGCTCAGAGTGTACTTGGTCTGTGTTTTTATTTATCCTCCACTCTCTACTCCAATTGGTTCTGACCCCATCTCAGAATGCCTACCGAGTCTTCACCAGTAGCACCTGCTTAAAGCATATGATTCTGAAAGTCCGGCGGGACGCACGCAATTTTGAACGCTACCAGCACAATCGGGACTTGGTGAATTTCATCAACCTGTTTGCAGACACTCGGCTGGAATTGCCCCGGGGCTGGGAGATCAAAACAGACCAGCAGGGAAAGGTGAGTATGACTGTTGTGTAGGCTTTTCGTCAAAGAAGCTCTTTCCTGGAAGGAGAAGACAGTGAGAAAGTGGGGAGAGAGTTTGGTAAGGAGAGGAAAGCCTGTGTGTCTGATACATGCCATTCACCACCAGTAGGAAGGGGAGAGTAATTATCCACAGCAGGGTTTTTGTCCTGTGCATTGTAGGATGTTTAGCAGCATCCCTGGCTTCTGCCCACTAAGGCCAATAGCATCCAACTCTCCCCAAGCTGTGACTTTGCTATATATCCCCTGGGGGACAAAATCACATCCAGTTGAAAACTACTGTCTACTGTCTACATCTTTTTAAATTTAGCTTTGGAACTTGAAACCAGATTCTGTTTAAATCTCTTTTTACTGTTTTGCCTCCTTAGACAACTATAACTCTCAAGAAATTAAATTATTAGTTAAATAGGAGTGACATTATTAGATTGCTCATTGTGATTTCTCTAATAAGCCTTCAGTACTCATTAAAACAGCCTGGCAAACAGTGATGGGATATATTGAGCCTGAGTCATGTTAACTGGCTTGCATTTTGCCTTTGTATGACCTTAACCAAAACTGATCCTTCCCAGCAATGCTTTAGAAGCCTAGCTGAGTTTGCTAAAATGAGAATGTTTTTATCTCAATCACCATCAGCCAACTCAATGTAATTATAGGACAAGCCAAAATTTTACTAAAGAATTGTCCCTGTGCAATCTTTTGCAAACTTTGGTACAAAGAACCCCTCCCTCTTCTAGGATCAAAGAAATCAGAAGCCTCACCAGCAGATATGTTTTTCAGTGGAAAACTGCATTACGCAGTTCCTTTCCTCTATGATTGTTAACCTGGAAAGCCACAATTCCTCCAAGTGAGTTGATGGGGTGTTATTGCCCCTGGGAGCCACAAACCCTCTCCCACAAACCCCTTAGTGTGCCTCAGCACTTGGACTCTAGAGTATGTGGAGAAAGATTGTATCTACTTAATGCAAGTCTGTTAATATAAGGAAGCTCTATGACCTGCTCCTCTGTAGTTGGGGATTAATTAAGGAAAAGGGGGTGCCTTGTTAGCAGAAAAGCCGCTATAGCCAGAATCTGCTCCCCAAGACCTTCTCATTTACAAGATGTATCCTCCTCTGGGAGAATGACAGTGATTTATACTGTGAGGACTTGCTGAAGTATGTTAGTATAGGAAATAAAGTCTGAGCCAGAACAGAAAGTAAAGAATCAGTGCTAGGGTGTAAGTGCCTTGTCTCAGTGGTCTGCAGTGGCCATGTTTGCATTTATTGCTTAACCAATATGCCAAGAGGACACCACTATGAATCAATGAACAGAAAGGCAGTGTTTTTTATGCAAAGAGCACACACGAATATAAACTGATTGTTTAGCCTTGGATTTCCATGACTGAAGATCTCACACTAAGCTACAAATAGCAGGGAGCCCATGGAATGCAGGAAGGCCCGAAATGCAATAAGCCCTGGTCTTCCATGGCACACATCACCTTCTAGTCCTCACACAACTAGAAAGCACAACAGCTGAGACATGCACTGAATATTTAATCATTTTAAAATGCATATTAGGGAATTTCTAGCAAGACATTTTCCCTTTAATTTTGTTTAGTGTGATAGTATCATACATAAGAAAGAAAAAAGTCTAAATTTGAAATGGAAAGACTTGAGTTCTGCTTTCTGTTATGATACAAACTAGCTGCTTGATGACAGACACACACAAAAAGGGTCTCTCTGACTCCCTATTAATTGAATACACACACAGACTCACAGTTGTCAGACAAAATTTCTAAGAGGCAAATCATGTACTGAACTATAATAGTAACCTTAAATTTGAAATGTGCAACCACAATCCATAGGATAGAGAGGAACGATAGAGAGTAATGGAAAAAAATAGAGGTAGGAAGACTTGTACCGGGTCTGGCCCATCCCATTCCAGACATATGACCCTGTAAAAGTCACTTCACCTCTCTGAGTCTCTTATCAATTTTGCTTATCATAAAGTAGCAATAATAATGCCTGCCTTGCCTTCTTGATTTTATAACTGACATAAAAAAGTAAGTTAATGTGAGAATCTGCTTCTTGCTTTATTGGCACATTCAGAGATGGTAAGCTTCACTTTTAGTATGCACTGTGGTAAGAATACAAGAAATGAGGCCAAGTTGTTTGGTGTCTTTGCATGCATAGTCATCCTCACAAAGGGTCACAGAGACAAAGACTAAAGCAAAGAACAAAATAGCATCTGACTCATTTGTCATTTTAAAAGTCTGACAGAGGAGGATACAGGACACAACCTCTCATTGACTTTGGTAGAGATTGCCTGTGGGCCTCAAGTGAGTTCTAGGGCTGAGCTGAGGAAGGTGACTATTATCCAGAGAGGTGCTGGAGCTGAGGGCATGGGACTGGGGGCAAAGGGGGAGATCCCTATTGAGGCAGACATGAAATGGTGGCAGGAATGAAAACAACAAAATGAGGAGGGGCCTATGAAGACATACTATTATGCAAAGGAAACAGAATCATGATCTAAGAAAATTATATCTCATAGTATAATTTTCTTCAGAAAATAGAAATGAATTTTTAAAAGATATCTGCTTGTCATCCACAAAATGATACAGGAGCACATGACTTCTATTGAGCAAGAAGAAGCCATGAACAAAAAACAAGCTGAGAGGAAGGAGACATAAGAAAATAAAACTAATATATGATCTAGCAATCCCACTTCTGGGTGTTTGTGTGTGTGTGTGTGTGTGTGTGTGTGTGTGTGTGTTGTGTGTGTGTGTGTGTGTGTGTGTGTGTAAATTAAATCAAAATCTTGATTTTGATGCAATAGCTGGGCTCCCATGTTTCTTGCAGAATTATTCATAGTACACAAAATATGGAAATAACCTAAATGTCCATTGATGGATGAATATACAAAGAAAATGTGGCATAAGCATGCAATGGAATATTATTCAGCCTTTAAAAAGAGGAAATTCTGACACATGTGACAACATGAATAGACCTGGAAGACATGTTAGGGTAAATCAGCGAGTCACAGGAAAAGAAATATTGTATGATTCTACTAATATGAATTTATGAACTAGTCAACCTCATAGAAACAGATTAGATTGCAAGAAAAAAATGTAATAGCGTAAAGATAAAACACAGCAGAAATGCTATGTAAAATCGAATCACTGATAGAGAATCTGAACACAGAAGCAACCCCCAAGTGGTAGGAAGAAACCGGATTGCAAAAAGTGAAGGAAAAGTTTTAAACAATGCAAAAACAATGAAAAAGAAAAAAAACATATCTCACCTTCTCAGTGAGGCCTACCCTAACTATTCAATTTAATACCACAAGCTCCCACAAGATCCCTAACCCATGCGCTCACTGTATAATTTACATATGTGTTAGGTTTCCTGTTTTGTCTGTTTCTCCTAGCAGAATTTTAGGCTCTTTGAGAGCAAGAATCTTTGTTTTGCTCATAGATGAAATCCCAAGAGCATAGAATAGAGCTTGGCACATAGTTGGCAATCAATAAATCTCTGTTGCATGAATGACTTATAGATGTTCCTGAGGCAGAAACCAGATTAATATGTACAGCCATAGTAATTAAATATTAAATATTAATTTAATTAAATCATTAAATATTGAAAATAAAATGTGATCTAAAACATCGTTCAGGTGGGCAAGTTAATTGGGCTTAGTGAATTATAATAAAATTAATTAAAACAAATTCTATATATACACATACTCTCGAATGTCTTCTTTTTGATCTTATCAATATATAGCCATGGTAATATGGCAGTTACCTACAAAAGAATAAAAATCAGACAAGCTTTAAACTTCTCATTCATAAAACTAAACTATAGAAATGCACAGAACAAAACTACAGGTTATTGATGAAAAAGGCTATAGCCCAATCATCCTGTATCCAGACAAATTGGTATCATCAAAGTGTAAATACACTAGGAAAACAATGTCATGTGCAAGATTTCAGAGCTTACCCTACTCTTTTACTCATCCTAAGAAAACACTAAAGCTATTCTCCAGGTGGCTCACAATATAGCAGAACAGGAAATCAATAATGGAAAAATTATAGTATAAAAGGACTGGTGGTGAATATTTAAATAAATCAAATACATAAATATAAATGAAAATAATTGCTGTTAAATGCTTCAAAATATATCAGAAAATATATAATAAAATACTATAAAAATATACAATAAAAAAGGAATAGTTTTATAGGAACGTTTTGGATCACTATCCTGAAACTAGAATGAAAAAGAAGAGGAAGCAGGAAGAGGGCAGGTGAGGAGTGCAAGGAAAGTTGTGCTGACTTCCTAGTTGTGTTTAAAGGTGTCAGATTGGATAATTTGAAAAACAAAGACTAAATGTAGTTAAAAGGCAACTGTTTGTTTGTATCATTCAGAACAAGATTTTTTTCTCTTTTGAATTTCTACAAAAAAAAAAATGAACATAATATAGTTATATAGCAAAACACATACACAAAAAAAAACCCCACAAGAAAACAATGAAACTGGAAACAATAAAAATAAGATAACAAAGGTAAAGCCAAGCATAAAGTTAAAAATGATAAGTGAAAATAAGATAAACTTAGGTACCAAAAGGAAACACTTTCAGATTTGGTAATAAACAGATCTGGCTTATAAAAAAGACATCACTACAAAATGATTTATCCAGGCACCAAAAGTAGAAACCATAAAAAAAAAAGAATATGTTTACATGTCAAAAAAGAAAGCTACCATAAATATTTAAAAGGTACACAAAAAAATTGAAGAAAACATTTACAATATGTATGACACCAGGATATTTGAGATGTAAAAAAAAAGTAAAAATAAAATAACTCAAACCTTCATCTTAGATAATTTTAAGAAATCCAGTCAAAAAAAAGAGAAATGATTCAGAAAGTTTAAAAATAAAAAATAAATATTAATACAGTGTGAAACAATAACAGAAAAATCAATGGTAGTGTATTAATATCAGACAAAAAGG